ATTGGGCCCACAGCACGGGGCGGAAGTTCGCGGCAGTGTGGTTTGGTCTTCGGAGGGTTTGGGTTGCCCGCTGATTGACGATCCGGCTCCATTCGGACTGCTCCCCGGTGGTTCAATGGCTGAATCAAGGGGTTTCGATGCGGTCCTTGTCTCTTTGGCGCTGGTCGCTTCGGGTGACTCGTCTGCCGAGTTCTCAGGGTTTGGCTCTCCTGGCAGTTCATGTGCGGGGGAGTGTCCAATGTTTTGGCAGACGGCCTGTCTCATTTCATTCCCATGTCCAAGGAATGGACAGTCGACGCACCTCCTTCTGTTGACTCTGCCAGACGTTCGGGCGCCATGAGGCGCCTCTTGGCGTCGGCGTGGTCGCGGCGTCTTCCTCTGTATTTGGCGCGCTTTCCTGACTGCGAGGCCATCGGGGTCGATGCCTTTCGGCAGGACTGGTCGAGGTGGGGGTTTCTGTACCTCTTTTCCCCAGTTCAGCTGTTGCTCCAGGTCCTGACTTGCTTGGAGACTTACCAGGGGAGAGTAGTCCTTTTGACCCCGTGGTGGCCGGGTCCAGCCGTGGTTTCAGGCGCTGCTTGTTCGGTGTCTGAACCTGGAGGTTTTCTCGTGGCTCCGCCTCTTCCAGCAGATCGGACCGGAGCATCACGTGGCTGGTTCGATCTTCTCCTCGAGTCTTTGTGTATGGTATTTTTGACTCGAGTTTATCATCATCTTTATGGTGATTAGGTGGCTTCCTTGTTAGTGTCCCACCTGCGAGCTTTGTCTCGGCAGCATTATAAAGTTTCCTGGCGGTCCTTCCGGTACTTTTTGACTCTTCGTCGTTGTGCTTCGCTTTCTGTTCAGGTGGTGTTGTCCTTTCTCTTTTGGTTGTTCCAGGACCGTCATCTTATGCCAAATATTGTCACCTTGTATCGTGCGGCGCTAGCGGAGTCTCTTCAGCTTGCTTTCGGTATTGATGTTACTTCTGCACCATTTCACGAGCTGTCTCGTGTGTTTTTTAACCTCCGACTGGCTCATGCACCGCCTGAACCATTCTGGTCATTGGATAGAATGCTCTCTTCTCTTTCTTCTCCATGGTTTGTTGTGGGCCCTTCGGTTCAGGATTGTTTCTCGAAGGCTCTTTTCCTGTTGGCATTAGCTTCTGGGGGTCGGGTCGGGGAACTTCATGCTCTCCTGAGGTGCAGGGGTTTCTGCTCTTTCGGTTGTGGTGATAGGTTTGTTCGTCTGCAGCCGTCTCCTTTTGGAGACGGCTGCAGACAAACCATTCTCCTTCTGGCGGAGAATGAGACAGCTTCTTTCCGATGGGGTCCTTGGGTTGTTGATGCTTGGTTGGTCAGGGCCAGGGGTGCATTATGTTTTGTCTCTGGTTGCGACCCTCCGCCGATATTTGCGCTCCACAGCTTGTGGGTCCTGGGACGTGATTTGGGTTGATCCGGTTTTCCTTCTTCCCTGTTTGCGGGTGCGGGTCTCCCAGGTCATTCATAAGGTTATTAAGGCCAGCCAGCCTTCGGTCTATCCCCGTGCCCATGACGTTCGTAAGTTCGGTGCTCTTGCTGTCGTCTTTGGCAACATGTCTTGGGCTGACATTCGGGGTTTTTGGAGGTCGAACAGGGTCTTGGCTGCACGCTACCTCGTAAACGTTCCTGGGCCTTGTCGGGCCTGTGTTGCTTTGGGTCGGCGGTTGCAGCCAGTTGTCTCAACTTCAGGTTGTGGAGCGAGCAGCGACCGCCTCCCGGGTAAGTCCCTCTACAATTCCTATGTGGATAGTTAGCTCTGGGGGAGCTGAAGGAGCTTTTCCCTCAGAAAACCAGCATTGAATGTAATGAAACCCCATTTTCTGGGAGACCCAGAGGCTTCCTGGCATCCCTCCCTTCCCCAGGTCGGCGGTTTTTCGCGCATTTTGATATCCAGCCTCAGAACTGAAGGGTGAATGGCCGGCATGGGGGTCTGGGGTTTCCCCTTCCTCCTCCCGGGGAGGGGGAAGCTGCACAGACAGCGGCACGGCGACGTGTCTGGTTGATGCCTGGTTGATGGGGTTCTGGGAGTTCTTCTACTCCCCAAGCCCGGCCCGAGGCCAGGCTCGACTTGTGAGAGTTTGGTCCACCAGGCTGTTGCTTGTAGCGGCCCGCAGGCCCACATACCCACCTCAGCCCGGTTGGTCCGGCACTCCTTGGAGGAATAAATCTAGTTTCCTCTTGAAAATGTCCACGGTTGTTCCGGCAATATTTCTTATGCTTGCTGGGAGGACGTTGAACAACCGCGGACCTCTGATGTTTATACAGTGTTCTCTGATTGTGCCTATGGCACCTCTGCTCTTCATTGGTTCTATTCTACATTTTCTTCCATGTCGTTCACTCCAGTATGTTGTTATTTTACTGTGTAGATTTGGTACTTGGCCCTCCAAGGGTTGTTGCGAACTCGTTGGCATTGTGTGACATGCTCATTTGCTTGTTACTTTTTGGAGAGTTCTATCCACTTGTTCGCTTCTTGTAGCAATTTTCACCTGGATAGGGGTTTGTTTTGGGACGCTTGAAATTCTGGGTGCCTGACCTGATCGATGGCAGACATAGAATGCTTCCAACCACACAGGGGTTTCTATATTCCATTGCTCCCCATGCCTCTCTGAGGGGGCTAAGTTCTGGCTCGTGGTCCCGGTAGGCCCACAGAACTCCATACACATGACTGATGCCAAAGTCTGATATTAGCATATCAGCCTGGATAGCTCCGGGGAGCCTCTGGGTCTCACCCAGCAAATGGCATTTCATTATTTATTTATTTATTTATATACAAGAAGGTACATTGGGTTTGTGAGAATACATAGCATAGTATTTACAATCTTGTAAAGCCACTAGTACGAGCAGCGTTTCGGGCAGGTCCTTAATCTAAAATTACAATTCAACGCTGGTTTTTTTGCCAGACTTCCCTGCCCTATTGCAGCCAAAACATGAATGCCGTCTACGATTTTTTTATTATTTTTCCCGGGATCAGGGGACACAAATGAACACTTTTATAAGATGACATATTTATTTCTTGCACCTGGATGTGTTGTAGGCTATAATTGCAAGATCAGCTAAGGGGTTAAGCAATTGCAATATATCAAATATTTATTTGTTAACCCTTAAAGGGCACAATAAATACGTAGGCGATGGGAGTAACTGTCACAGAATGGTGCACATCATACATAGGTGATTGAGGGTCCCTCACACAATTTAAATGTCCCTAGGCTACACAGGGTTCACATCAGCTTCCTCAGTGTTCTCGTAAACAGACACCATTTTTTTGTCAGATTGTGGGCAACATTCCCGGGTGTGAGAGCCTCAATACTGAGTAACCACCCAAAGCTGACGCACGCAGCATGAGCTAACAGCACTGCTGTTCAGCTTGTGACCACAGCATTGCCTAAATGTGTCAAAATATATACGTAACTGCTTTTATTTAGCGATGATAGTATTACAGAAGACCCTGACTGTGCTAAAAATGACCAGGATTCTGATAATAGCAGGATTGTAGTGATAAATAGCACTGTGCATATTATGGTGAATGGAGTAATCTTGGTGAGGGAGGAAGGTAGCGTCATCTGCTGACTCTTGTGTGGCCACCTGTTATTGTCTGGACTCACCATACCAGCTTAGTGGTTCTCTATAGTGAATACAAATGTAGATACTTATATATTATGTGTGTATAGTATAATAACAGCAAAAGGAGTGTATTGGGAGGAGCCATTTTGGTGGGGAAGGTGGCGTCGTCTGCATGACTTGTCATGCTATGCTGTGTGAGGTGGCGACTATGCTGTTTGAGCACCATACCAGCTTTGTTGTACAGATATGGTAAATAAAACATGTAGATTTAGTGACACCTCGACTTACAATTGCCCCAACTTACGATTTTTTCAAGCTACGATGTCAATACGGTAAGAAAGTGCGACTCGACTTACGATCGCAATGTCGACTAACAATCTTCGTTGATACCCTTTCAGGTCGACCGAGCGCATGGTTCCTGGTGGCACAGGCCAACCTGCCTTAGTTTACCAGAGCAACCCACTTAGTGATGATTATGCTTGTAAGAAATTCCATTATTTTGGCAATTTTTTGTTTTTTGAACATTATGTAATTATTATTATATATCATGCTATGGGTTCCAAGAAAGTCAGTGGCAAGGTTCAATATATGAAAACACATGTGAGGATGATCATAGAGGCAATACAGAACGTCCCTTCCTCAAAAATTAAGGAAAATTAAGGAAGCCCTTAATTGATGGTGAAGCTGTCAATTGAGGGAATTACTCAGGGGTAGAAGGTAGCAGGTGGTGGCAGCGTAAGTCAGAGCTTGCAGTGTAGCACCGAAAAATAGATATCACGACTCTAGGATAATGTAAGTGAACAAACATTTAGATCTCAAGGAATGGTACTGATGGTTACATCGTAGAACACTGGACTTTATATATTTACTTAATAACGACCAGCATTTAACCAGTAAGTGAGGTTAAAGGCTGGCCCCCGTTACAACACCACCAGTCTTTTCTGACAAGCCCCAATGAGAATAACTTCCACCACCTGCCTCCTGACACTAAACCCCCAACTACCGACACCACTCCCAGACTTCAACCCTTACCAATGATGCAACCTGTCCCCCTGACACCATTTTATCATCCTTCAACCATTTCTCACTGGAAACAATAGGTAAGGAAAATATAATACTGTACTGTACAACTGTTTACACTTTGGTGAAATACTCTTCCTGGAAAGGACTCATAGTTAATGACTGCGGCTGTCATCAACTATGACAACTCGGTCTCGGTGATCGCTTGGACAAACAATCCTCACTTAATTGAACATTTGTATGTTCCACTGAACATTTAGTACTGGATTCAATTTGTTTGGATCATCCGGGAATATGATAGAGCAGGGTTCGTTAGAGTGAGGATGTGAGGATGAGTACATCATATTCATATTGACGATGTCATTTAGTATATGACATACAAAATTCACAGATACAGACCTGAGTGAGGAAGTCCAGTGAGGGAGACGAGATGTATAGTAACAACACTTTCGGTTGTGTGAAAGAACAACTCTAACTTTTGAAGGAGTGTTGTCAACTGGGAGTAACTCAATGCCCCAATATCTCCTCCAACCACCACCTCAACTTCATCCAGGTGATGAGGACCTAATAATAAACGCAGTTCACACTTGAAAGTATTACCAAAGTAATCATAAGAATGTCAAACAATCATGCTACAAGTGAATTATGAACTCGGATTCCTAAAACTATCAAAAGCTCAATACAGTACTGTACAATTACTCCCATACATTTCAAAACGGTGAATCAAGTAAATATCAACACAATAAATCAACTACACAAGTCATAACAAGACTGAAACAAACAGTTTAACCCTTAAACTGCACAAAAGTCATATGAAGTGTAACATTGAGCTCAGTTTTTTATATTTTCTGAAACTCAATTGTTTTGTGCATAATCTACTAGGCAAATGATCCAACTTTGTCTAAATGATACCAGTATAACTTGAAAAAACAAGAAAATAAAAAAATATTTATAAAATTGAATATTAAAAACTTCAGATTTTGAAATCGACTGCAAAAATATATCACCAATTGTTCATTTAGTGTTATTATGCTCTCAGAATAGCATATGATCTTCATATTCATATATTTAAAATATAGGTTTTCAGCATAGTTTACTGTAAAAAAATTTGTGAATATGGCATTTGAAATATATGCAAATTTAGACAACAAAAATGTATAACTCCAAACATTTAGAGTTTATGAAAAATCAATCTTACAGGGATTGTAGAACAGACAGCTGTGCACACTATATGTAAAACTGGTGAGAATCTGTCACAAACTAGATTTTTGGATACTGAAGTTGAAATTCTAGTTATAGATATAATTGAAGTTGAAGTTATCGACAATGAATAAGGCAGTTCTAATTCATGAATTGTATGTTTTACAACTGACTTGTATGTTTTAATAAACATTGTTTGGCATTCGTACTTAAATATGTGAAAGTTGTAGGTCAATATGTGTTGAAATGAAGTCAAGAAAAAATAACCCACCAAGAAAACAAAATATAGAGATAATTATAATGATTTAGAGGATAAATTTAGGGTATACTTTATATATACTTTATTTAAGTAAAAAAACCTAATCTGATCCCTAATCATCAAAAAACTAAAGAAACAAGGAAAAAAGAGTTTGAAATCTGTGAAAATATCTGCCAAAAAAAATTCAAAGTCCCAAGTTTTGAGAGTTGTGACTGATTTATTTGTTGACCAATTTAATTCTGTCTTCACATAGTTAGGGACGGGTATGCACTCTTCAGGATGTAAAGGTTACAACAAATTCAAATAATAAACAAAGGAGGAAGAAAAAACTAAAAACCTAAAAAAAAATTCCCCTAAAAAAAAAAAAAAAACAGCTTTGAATGTAATGAAACGCCATTTTCTGGGTGAGCCCCGGAGGCTCCCTGGAGCTTATCGGGCTAATGTATGTTATATTAGACCGGGACATTAGCCAAGACGTTCAGACCTACCACGGACCAGCGCCAGAACCTGGCCCCTTCAAAGAGGCTTCAGGGAGCAATGGCCCTAGAAAATTCCCTTGTGGATGGGGTTTTTCCTTATTTGCCATCGACCGGGGTTAGGCACCCAGAAAGGTAGGCATAGCAAAACAAACTCCATATGGTAAAAAACTAAAACAAAAAAATGAACAGAGGTAGAAACTCTACAATCCCAAGGAAACATCACACTTTATGGAGCCCTCCCCTCCCCTCCCCTCCCTGAGAGGGGAAGGGGAGGGCTGCATGTTTGGGAACATGTAGCTCCCTGGAGCTACATACCCAAAGCTAAAGAAATGAGGGACTTATCCGGGAGGCGGCCGCCACAAACTCTTCAACCCGAAGTCGAGACAACTGGCTGTAACCTGCGACCCAAAGCAACACAGGAATGCTCAGGAGTAGGAATGTTCAGCAAATAACTGGCAGGAAGGACACTGTTCAACCTCCAAAATCCCCATGTCCAAACATTAGCCAAAGACATGGTGCCAAACACGGCAGCCAAAGCAGAAAACTTCCTAATGTCATGAGCACGAGGAGAGACCAGAGGCTGGTTATACTTAATAACCCTGCGAACGACATGGGAGACCCAAGCCCTGCGGCAGGGAACGAGAGAAACCGGATCAACCCAAAGAGCATCCCTAGCCACCGAAGCCGAAGATCGCAGTTAATGGCAGAGAGCCGCATTCGGAAACAACACGTGATGCAACCCCGGCCTGACCAACCAAGCATCAATGACCCAAAGACCCTTCTGGAAATCAATCATCTCATTCTTCGCCAGAAATGGAGGAGACGGCTGCAAATGAACAAACCTACCACCAGGACTGAAAGAGAAGAAACCCCTGCACCACAGATGAGCATGAAGCTCCCTGACCCAACCCCCAGAAGCCAATGCCAACAAAAACAGAGCCTTGTGAAAATATTCTTGAACCAATGGGGCCACCACAAACTGAAGAGAGGAAAGATAGGAGAGCACCCTGTCCAAGGACCAGAACAGCTCAGACGGCGCATGAGCAGGTGAAACAAAGCACGAGAAATCTTACGGAATGGGGCAGATGAGACATCCACCCCGAACGTAAGCTGGAACAGCTCCGCCAGCGCTGCACCACACAAGGTGACAGTATTAAGCATCAAATGACGATCCTGAAAAAGCAAAGACAGAAAGGACAAAACAACCCAATTCGAGATAGAAGACAACCTACAAAGAGAGAGAAAATGGCAGAAAGAACGCCAAGAAACTTCATACTGTCGCTGAGGCAAAGCTCGGAGGTGGGACACCATCAAAGAAGCCACCTGATCCTCATACAGATGGTGATAAACCCTCGTCAAAAGATCAGAGCAGAGGGCCGGCCAAGGCTGGGCCGGCCACCAAGGGACGACGAGGACTACTCTTCCTGGAAAGGACTCCAACCGAACCAGAACCCATAGTAACAGCTGGACCAGGGGGGAAGAAGTACAAGTAACGCCACCTCAACCAGTTCTGCTGAAAGGCATCCACAGCGACAGCCTCACAGTCGGGGAAGGGAACCACATAGATCGGGAGATGCCAAAACTACACCAAAGCGAAGAAGTCCACTTCCAGGAGTTTGTACATCCAGCAGAGCAAACGAAAGTAGTCGGCGTCGACCGTCCATTCCATGGACAGAGGACTGAACCAAGGCAGGCAGTCTGCCAGGACGTTGGACACTCCCCGGATATGAACTGCATGAAGAGCCAAACCCCGAGAAGCCAGCAGACGAGCCACATGAAGTGACCAGCCCGAAAGAGGCAAGGACCAAAGAGAGCACCCGCAGTTCAGACAATGAACCACCAAAGAACAGTCCGAATAGAGCCAGATGGTTGAACTCCGAGCAACCTGAACTCCGAACTTCTACACTGTGCCGTAAGCCTGATGGAAGGACACACCCCACCGTCCCTGGACGACCTGGTGAGCACTGGTCACAAAAGCCCCAGCCAATAGACAATGCGTCCATGAACACATCGAGCAAGGGTTCGGGTAGGCACCAAGGCACTGAACTCAAAAACTCAGAAGAGGGAGCCGGCGATGCAGCAACTGGCGCAAGGCCCCCCAGAGGACAAACCAAGCTATTGCGAGAGAAGCAGAAGGGGAGGCTCCAAAGGAACTAGAACAGGCGCCGAAGTCAAACCCGACCCAGCAGGTAGACCAGCACAGTGAAGTTCAAACTCCTGTACAACTGCTCGAGCAACCGCCGACTGACCCGGGCTCCCCCAGAAACAACCGAAGGCAGGACTGCAAGCGCAGCAATGCCCCCAGATTGGGAGCCACGGAAACGGTTCAAAAGTCTCAAACAAGACCTGGGTCCCCCTCAAAAACAGTTGAAGGTGGGACTGCAGCTGGAGCAAAGCTGCAAGAGGGAGAGAGAAGGGAGATTCTCGGAAAAATCGTGTGGGAGAATCCCACATGAGGCCTAGCCATATGGAGTCATATGGAATTGTCATGCCTACTGGGGAACACTAGCCAGAGCATGGTCCTGTCAGAGAGGTGCAGGGAGCAATGGCCTATGAAACTCTCATGAAGGAAAGTATTCATGTCTGCCATCGACCAGGGTTGAGCACCCAGAAAGGTAGGTGCTTCAAAACAGACGCCCCCTGGTAGAAAATTGCAACCCGAGACTGAACAGAGGCTAGAAATTCCCCAAAGTAAAACAAGTTTCTTTTTTTATGCGCTCGTTTGTGCCTCCCCCCCTCCCCTTCCCCAGAGCCGGTAGCTGAATCGTCAGTTTGGTGTTTGAAAAACGGAAACCAAAATCCGACGATAATGGGGAGGGAGGGTGCCAGGGCTCTACCCAGAAAAAGGTGTTTCATTACATTCAAAACTGTCTTTTTGTGGGGAAGACGCATCGGCTCCCTGGAGCTAAATACCCTTAACCCTTAACATGCTCGGGGTCTAATATCCTGCTATCCACACAGGCGCATGTCATTTTGAAAAAAAAAAAAATTTTTTTTTTTTTGCTAATCTGTTAAGTTCTGTTCACTGATCACGGGAAAAATAAAAAAAAATTCTATTGTACTTACTTTTGTTGCAATAGAGCCGAGAAGCTCGGTGATGACGTCACAATCTGCATGTTCGCTCATGCAGTACACGCCCGGGAGATGTTGCGCGCGGTCCTCAAACAGCCAGAGTTGCCACAAATATATTTTCGCGCTATTTATTTACAATGTCTAAGCGCATTTTATCTAATTTTTTTTCACTAATTGTGTTTCAAATACTGTTTGAACATATTTTGTATCAATAATTGTTGCATATTTGAGTATACACAGGCGCACACAAATGTTTTCAATTACGGCAATATAATATGTCATTACAGTCTATTATATTGTATGTTCTGCTTATATTTGTATATATTTACACACACGCACACGCTATCTGCTTATATGTTTACATATTTACACACTCGCACACGCTATACACACTTTGAAGCACACTTAGAAGATTTCTAGACTGTGGTAGTCATTGAAGCAGTCGACAGCACATAATGGGATACCACACGTTTCACACCATGTTTGCACAAGCTTCCGTTTCTTGTCTCTACGTGTCGTTGTTTTACACACCAAGCAATCACGTTGGGCTATTG